TTCCCTATCTTCACCTTCAAGTTAATTGGACCCCAGACTCTCAGCAAGCAGCAAAACACCCCAGGGCTGCAGCGAGCACTAAGTGCACCATTTCCCCATACTGTAGGCGAAGCCTCCTAGACAAACAGTTAGTCATCCACAGAAGTGTCCCCTGTGCAGCATCTGCTTTTCCTTCGTGCTAGCAGAAGCCTCCTCAATCTAGCAGTTTAAATGCAACAAGTTTCTAAACAGAACTGCTCTTTCAGGCTCTTTGCAACTCTTCCCTGCTCTATGTCGAAGGTACTAGCACCCTCTACTGTCACTGAGCAGCATAGTTATCACCCCACAACCAGATGCCTGTCCAGTATACACAAAACTTCAATGACAAGTCACTGGTTCCTTCAGTAAAAAACCCCAAGTCACAGGTGTCTGTAGCTTTGCCTGCCCTCTTCATTGTGCAGTGACTTCTGCACTGCTAGGGAACTCTTTTTTTTTCTAGAAATACTTAACACAATAGGTTTTTTAAAATAGCAAATTACCGTTATGCTTAATTACTAATATTATTCGAACTGAGAGCACATTCAAACCAGTCAGGATTATTCTGGGCTTAGAAAATAGAAAATCAAAGATAAATCAACATGACTGCAAAAACACTCGCTGGTGGCACCAACCTTCACGATTTCATGACAAAGCCTGTGCTTTTTGGTGTTTTTCCTCAAGCCCCAGCATCTAGAATCATGTGGTTCCATGAGACACTCATGTCATTTTTTTTCGGCAACTTTCCAGCCTTCTTGATCGCACGTTAGAAAAAGTGAACCTCAAAAATCCAGAAGGCAAAGAAAAATTAACTTCCAATTAAGGAGTGTTTCAATATCATGGGTTTTTAAAGCAACCCCAAAATCCTATACAGGATGGGTAATAGTCAAACACTCACCTGGGTATTTATACATATGCTTGCTGAAAGCTAACTGGCTCATTTTGGTATATTTTGGGCAGACTGGCTGCAATTTTTCAAGCCAGCTTTTTTCAAACATTTTTCCTCACCATTTGTTTTAAAACCATCCAAATATTTCCTTTTTCACAGAAAGCTACTTTTTCCTCCATTTTTTTTAAATTTTTGGTCAAAAATATTCTCAAGAAGAATGTAAAAAAGGCAACTTCCAGCACATTTTAAATGTGGGAAAAATGACCCCAGTACGGGTCAACATCAAACCTTTCAAAACCAAAACCCTTGAAAGGCTTCAAATCTAATTTTTCTGTTTTTGACAAGTTCACACTTTAGGGCATTTGGTGGGGGGGATCAGAATGGGCGGTGAGGTCTTGGTTTGTGTCCATCAGCCAAAGCATATTTATATCTACAGAGTATCTATGGGTTTAACTGATCAAGTGCAGGAGTGGGTGGAATTGCAGAACACCAACATTTCTCACCGTGACTAAATCTATACCTGAGAGAACCAGTCTCAGGATGCCAGAGTCCCATTCATCTCACTTACAATTGCCTCGCGCAGCTCATCACATGCAGCTTTGGACATCACACCTTGGACAGCTGCCCACAAAGTCAAGGCCATGACCACACTTGAAGTTTGCTGCAGGGCTCACTTACCTCCATGAAGTGATCTGGAACTGCTGTTGCACAGCAGTGCATGCACACCTGGTTGAGCAGCTCCCCTGTAAAATCGCTGCATCCACACAGCGCTACGATGCCTTCTGGGCGGACAGCCCATGGCGAGATTGAGATGCCCTGCTGCTGGGCTCTACTTATTCTGGGCTTTCCCTTCCTAAGCACTGTGGGAGCTCGGGATCAAAGTGGAGAAGTCCCATGATTCCTCTTGTTGCATCCATCACTATTTTGCGGAGTCCCTGACATTCTCACAAGCCCTGCAAGACGGTGCTGCAGCCCTGATCATCATTGGTGGGAACAGGGCGCTGCATGGTGAATTCTGTGGCAGGACAACACAACCACCTAAGGGAATGCTGAAACAGATCTCCCTTTTCCAAGGGCTTTCCTTGGCAAGCAGTTGCTTTTGGGCTTGGCCCTGACTAGGAGAAGCCTCTCAGTTGCTCTCAGTATGTACCTAACCTGCTTGGTGCTGTCTGGGCTGTTATGGAGAAGTATGGTGATAACAAAAGAGTCCTGTCCACTCTCAGCCAAGTCACAGGGCCTACCAATGCACAAGAGGCTGCTGTTGGCTTTGCACAGGGGG